TTCCATCGATCGTTGTTACGATATATTCCGCAATTCAGTTCTACCTTAGTTTTTAAAACCAAACGTCGAAGAAGTGCATTGCATTGCAACGGAGGCTCGCTGCAACTCAGAACGGCCTAGCACGCAGCAGGATCGCAAAATAACGTAGGCGATAATCCACTTTAATCAGACGAGCGTGCGAGATACGTCGCGTGAACGAGGTCATCGGCTAATGGAGGCGCGCATAAAAATTAAAATAGCAAATTGGTGACACGGATAGCATAGGCCGCGCGAAAACAGCGCCAACAACGTCCGTGTGAGAGTTCATTCGAAACGACCGGTTAATTAAAGTAATCGAGATAATCCGAACAGCCGAGTAATCGACTGCCGATCTCTCCAAGTTGTTGTTTTTAAAAAATTAAAAAAAAAAAAAAATGACCTGAAAAATGGTTGTAAAGGCTTCGCGGTCTGCAGCTCCGACCGACGTAACTCGGAAACAAAGTGATTTCGAGATTTTGGAGAGCGGTTAGCGAGAGGAGATGACGAGACAGACGAGAAAGACGAAAATGAAGGAAATTAAGAAAGTAATGAGACAAAGCCCGATCGTAAGCTGGAATTTAAACAGTCGTTGATACGATGCGTGTTAAATTGCATTACATCTGCTTATTAGTCACGGCACGGGCAAGCTGCGTGCAACGTTGAAAAGGCAATCGTGTAATACGTCATAATTTCCATAGCGTGACTGGACACTCCTCCGGTGCCCTCCATGCAACATCACGTTAACACCTATAAATGGGAATTTATTATTTTCCCGTGTCTCGTGAATACGTGCTTGCTTGTTTCGCGTCTTATCTACTCTATAATTACACGACAAGGGAGAAATCATTTTTCTTACGCAAGTACGTTAATTAATTCCCAAATTCCTAGCCTGAGTCTCTTACGCCTTCTAATCTTCCTCGAGCGTATAACGTGATGTGTGTAACACGATGTGCGTGGAATAAAACAATCGAACAGAAATACGAATTCAAGTAGAAGAGAATAAACTGACGTGCTTAATCTCGATGACGGAATTCTAATAACTCTTACTCCAATCCTACCGCTACACAATGTTAGAGACGAGTCTTTCCTAACGTTATAATCATGCGAGAGCTCGTACCTTTCTTCTCTAATTTGTTCTCTAACTAGCCCTAGATACCACTGGATATTTCTTTGTTCTATCTATGAAATTCTCGGAACAAGATACCATTTAAGAAACTTGAAGAAATGAAGTTCTTTTCTCTATTTCTAAATGAAACTAATTCTCATCGCGAGGTCATCGTCTGAGGACGAGTTAGTGATCTGGAGTTGAGAAAGGGAAACCGCGCCAAGTCAAACGGAGAAACCTTCCTTACACTCATTCTTGCCACGCCGATAAATACTCCTGATACACATTTCGACGCCGGCGAACCTCTTTCCTTTACACGCCGGAACGCGTTTATGGAAATGCTCTTGACCGCGGTGCAACTGCAGCGTTCCGGCCAACGAGTTTCCATTCGCGGACAGCCACGATTTTCAGTTTCTTTACATCTCCAACTCGCCGACGTTCAAAA